AGTGTTAGTGTGAGGTATTTCTGAAAGTAGTGTTAGTGTGAGGTATTTCTGAATGCAGTGTTAGTGTGAGGTATTTATGAATGCAGTGTTAGTGTGAGGTATTTATGAATGCAGTGTTAGTGTGAGGTATTTCTGAAAGTAGACATGACATCTTTATTCATGAAGAATGTAGGCATCCGGCCCATGTTCATACATACATGTGGTCAGTCAGCATGTAATGTATATGACAATATATATAGAGAGAGAGAAAAAGAGAGAATAATAATTAATGAGCAGGTTATTCTGAAACAGTGTGCATAATAGATATACATGGCCAGCTTTCTAACGACATTAACATCCCTGATACCAAAAGCATGTTTCATTTATCACGCGTAGGGTATGATATAAATTTAGTAGGTATATACCTCTCACGCAGTGTTTTATACCGAACACAAACCATCACAAAATGATACTCATCTTCGATATAGCCTTCATTACATAGAGTGCACACCCTTTTATCTACAGGAATATTAACATATCTGCCTGTTTCTATTTTGAGTCCATGGGAGCTGCAACGAAATTGTGCCATGGCCACGCGGAATTTTGCAATTGTTAGTCTTTTGAGATATAACCGCGTTCCAAAGGTACCTTTAAAGAAAGTATAATTTCTAGTTTTAGAACTGCTGAAAAGAGTGGAGTGCCAGTCCTGTTCAAACGAACATTTTATCTTGCCATAACTTCCGCAATAAAGGATTCTTTACTAATTATTGTTTGTGACTCCCATATATAGCCAAATCCAAGTCGAAACAATAAGTACTTCAATTTGGAAACCCAATTATTTTTACCATTATTAGCTGCTTGTAAAAGCATGTTATAACATTTTTTTGAATATCTTACATTAGGCATATATAACAATCTAATCCAAAACTTTATGGAACGTTTAAATGCGAAAATATACAAAGGGTACCTGCCACATTCACCCAGTACTGTGTAAGTTGGTGTCGATGTCTTCACTCCAAGGAAGTGTTTACACGCAAACATATGAATGGTTTCTATACTTGTTACACTATCTAACCCCCACACCTCAGACCCATAGAGTAAAAAAGGCATAATTGTAGTGTCAAAAATCCTGAAAAATAATTCAAACGGAATTGGTTTAAATCTATGTAATGTCCTTAATATGCCTAAAAGAACTTTTCTAGCCTGGGCAGCTGCACTTTTAGTATGTTTATCCCACGACAATGTTTTAGTAAAAGTAATAAACAAATATTTATAGAATGGCACGCACTCCGAGACGTTTTCCTCTATAATACCATCTTTCCCTTCTCGAGAGAATACCCCCATTCTTGAAAACAACGTTAACCACTTTAGTCTTATCCGAATTAACTGTTAACTGGTAATTATTACAATATGATTCTAGAATGTATATTCTTTTCTGGAGACCAAAGATTGTGTCAGATACCAAAATGACATCGTCGGCAAACAATAATATGAACAGTTCAATCATCTCTGGATGAAGCTGGATACCAAGTTTACATGTGGATTCAATTTCCTGTGCTAGTTCATTAATAAAGATAGAAAATAGATATGGACTAAGGACGCAACCCTGTCGCACACCCAAATCACAGTCAAACATATCCGAATACATATTGTTAGACTTAACACATGAACGTACTCTATTGTATATAGCTTGTACACCGTTTAACATTTTTGGAGAAACCCCTAGTGTGAGGTATTTCTGAATGCCGTGTTAGTGTGAGGTATTTCTGAATGCAGTGTTAGTGTGAGGTATTTCTGAACGTAGTGTTAGTGTGAGGTATTTCTGAATGCAGTGTTAGTGTGAGGTATTTCTGAAAGTAGTGTTAGTGTGACTTATTTCTGAATGCAGTGTTAGTGTGACGTATTTCTGAAGGCAGTGTTAGTGTGAGGTATTTCTGAACGCAGTGTTAGTGTGACATATTTCTGAACGCTGTGTTAGTGTGAGGTATTTCTGAATGCAGTGTTAGTGTGAGGTATTTCTGAACGTAGTGTTAGTGTGAGGTATTTCTGAATGCAGTGTTAGTGTGAGGTATTTCTGAAAGTAGTGTTAGTGTGACTTATTTCTGAATGCAGTGTTAGTGTGACGTATTTCTGAATGCAGTGTTAGTGTGAGGTATTTCTGAACGCAGTGTTAGTGTGACGTATTTCTGAACGCTGTGTTAGTGTGAGGTATTTCTGAATGCAGAGTTAGTGTGAGGTATTTCTGAATGCAGTGTTAGTGTGAGGTATTTCTGAATGTAGTGTTAATGTGACGTATTTCTGAACGCAGTGTTAGTGTGACGTATTTCTGAATGTAGACATGACATCTTTATTCATGAAGAATGTCGGCCTCCGGCCCATGTTCATACATACATGTGGTCAGTCAGCATGTAATGTATATGACAATATATATATATATATATAGAGAGAGAGAGAGAGAGAGAGAGAGAGAGAGAGAGAGAGAGAGAGAGAGAGAGAGAGAGAGAGAGAGAGAGAGAGAGAGAGAGAGAGAGAGAGAGAGAGAGAGAGAGAGAGAGAGAGAATAATAATTAATCAGCAGGTTATTCTGAAACAGTTTGCATAATAGATATACATGGCCAGCTTTCTAACGACATTAACATCAGTTGATCCCAAAAGCATGTTAAATTTATTACGCGTAGAGTATGATATAAATGTAGTAGGTATATACCTCTCACGCATTGTTTTATACCTAACAGAAACCATCAAAAAATGATACTCATCTTCGATGTAGCCTTCATTAGACACAGTGCACACCCTTTTATCTACAGGAGTATTAACATATCTGCCTGTTTCTATTTTGAGTCCATGGGAACTGCAACGAAATTGTGCCATGGCCACGCGGAATTTTGCAATTGTGAGTCTTATGAGATATAACTCCGTTCCAAAGGTACCTTTACAGAAAGTATAATTTCTAGTTTTAGAACTGCTGAAAAGAGAGGAGTGCCAGTCCTGTTCAAACGAACATTTTAATCTTGCCATAACTTCAGCAATAAAGGATTCTTTACTAATTATTGTTTGTGATTCCCATATATAGCCAAATCCAAGTCGAAACAATAAGTACTTCAATTTGGAAACCCAATTATTTTTACCATTATTAGCTGCTTGTAAAAGCATGTTATAACACTTTTTGGATATCTTACATTAGGCATATATAACAATCTAATCCAAAATTTTATGGGATGTTTAAATGCAAACATATACAAAGGGTATCTGCCACATTCACCCAGTACTGTGTATGTTGGTGTCGATGTCTTCACTCCAAGGAAGCGTTTACACGCAAACATATGAATGGTTTCTATACTTGTTACACTATCTAACCCCCACACCTCAGACCCATAGAGTAAAATAGGCATAATTGTAGTGTCAAAAATCCTGAAAAATAATTCAAACGGAATTGGTTTAAATCTATGTAATGTCCTTAAGATGCCTAAAAGAACTTTTCTAGCCTGGGCAGCTGCACTTTTAGTATGTTTATCCCACGACAATGTTTTAGTAAAAGTAATAAACAAATATTTATAGAATGGCACGCACTCCGAGACGTTTTCCTCTATAATACCATCTTTCCCTTCTCGAGAGAATACCCCCATTCTTGAAAACAACCACTTTAGTCTTATCCGAATTAACTGTTAACTGGTAATTATTACAATATGATTCTAGAATGTATATTCTTTTCTGGAGACCAAAGATTGTGTCAGATACCAAAATGACATCGTCGGCAAACAATAATATGAACAGTTCAATCATCTCTGGATGAAGCTGGATACCAAGTTTACATGTGGATTCAATTTCCTGTGCTAGTTCATTAATAAAGATGGTACGCACTCCGAGACGTTTTCCTCTATAATACCATCTTTCCCTTCTCGAGAGAATACCCCCATTCTTGAAAACAACCACTTTAGTCTTATCCGAATTAACTGTTAACTGGTAATTATTACAATATGATTCTAGAATGTATATTCTTTTCTGGAGACCAAAGATTGTGTCAGATACCAAAATGACATCGTCGGCAAACAATAATATGAACAGTTCAATCATCTCTGGATGAAGCTGGATACCAAGTTTACATATGGATTCAATTTCCTGTGCTAGTTCATTAATAAAGATAGAAAATAGATATGGACTAAGGACGCAACCCTGTCGCACACCCAAATCACAGTCAAACATATCCGAATACATATTATTAGACTTAACACATGAACGTACTCTATTGTATATAGCTTGTACACCGTTTAACATTTTTGGAGAAACCCCTAGTGTGAGGTATTTCTGAATGCCGTGTTTCTGAGTGTGAGGTGTGAGGTATTTCTGAATGCAGTGTTAGTGTGAGGTATTTCTGAACGCTGTGTTAGTGTGAGATTTTCTGAATGCAGTGTTAGTGTGAGGTAGGTATTTCTGAAAGTAGTGTTAGTGTGACTTATTTCTGAATGCAGTGTTAGTGTGACGTATTTCTGAATGCAGTGTTAGTGTGAGGTATTTCTGAACGCAGTGTTACGAATGCAGTGTTAGTGTGACGTATTTCTGAACGCTGTGTTAGTGTGAGGTATTTCTGAATGCAGAGTTAGTGTGAGGTATTTCTGAATGCAGTGTTAGTGTGAGGTATTTCTGAATGTAGTGTTAATGTGACGTATTTCTGAACGCAGTGTTAGTGTGACGTATTTCTGAATGCAGTGTAAATGTGGCGTATTTCTGAACGCAGTGTTAGTGTGACGTATACCGTATTTCTGAACGCAGTGTTAGTGTGAGGTATTTCTGAACACAGTGTAAGGGTGAGGTATTTCTGAACGCAGTGTTAGTGTGACGTATTTCTTAATGCAGTGTTAGTGTGAGGTATTTCTGAACGCAGTGTTAGTGTGACGTATTTCTGAATGCAGTGTTAGTGTGAGGTATTTCTGAAAACAGTGTTAGTGTGAGGTATTTCTGAATGCAGTGTTAGTGTGAGGTATTTCTGAACGCAGTGTGTTCAACAAACAACAAACATGGAATATAGTACAAATATTTAATAGTTGGTGGAAGTAAATTTGTACACAGAGAAACAAAGAGTTGAGTACAAAAATAGAGGTTTGGCGTATATAATACAACTAAAACGACAACCGAAACGTAAATGGATACTTAACTGAGATCATGGAAGTATACCTGAATTCTTGAGGAAAATCATTATCATCTATAGGCGCTGTTAATCACTACAAAATTAGATAAACGTCTAGCTCTTCCATTGTATAACATAGTTGTAGAGGATCTTTACAATATTCTAAAAACTCTAAAAAAAATTAGTGTTTTTTTCCTTTCACATATTTTTATATGTACATGTCTTTCAACGTCAACAAATACTACTTAAATATTTCCGAAAAATGGGCGCTTCTGAGCAATAGACGATATAAAGTGATCTGTTCTAGTTTTCTCCTTTCTATGCCCCTGATGTTAAACTTACAACTGGCATAACGGGAACAAGTAGGTATGCTGGCTTCACATGGGAAGTAACAAGCGGGTTAGCGATGAAAATATTTGTGAGAAGATTACGTAACTTACGAATGACGTCATACAGGTAAAGTAACGAGACTACGAAACATGTCACCAAGAGCTAAATAACAAGAACAATGTCAACTGACACAATCGTGACAATCACCGTAATAGAAATATAGCGGTTGGAAAATATGGTCAAATGTTCCCAAAATTGAAATTTCTAAACAAATTCACATTCAAAGAATTACTGGAGTTTAAGAAATGGAATAATATTGTTTCATACAAGTAAACTGCAAAAGAGGAATGAAAGCGACAGGTCTTATGCACCCTTCCCCAGAGTCAAATAAAGGGGAGGTAACTCTGTCAAGCATACTTGCTTCAAACACAACCTCATTACTACAGCGTTAAAAACAGACACGATTTTCGCTTATGATAATTGATATAATAAAAAGAATAACCCTATAAATAGAAAAAAATCATGTGTACGTTTTACATGTGACAATATTCATAGACACAGTATTTACAACTATGTGCACTATTCGAGTTAACTTTGTGCAAAGAATTGCCCTCTATATGTACATGAACGATTTATATACACTATGCACAACGGGAAGTGAGGGAAGGACCTGTGCAGAAGAGAAGTATACTATTCACATTTTGCTAAGGATCAAATCATGGATTCAACAGAAAACTATGATGTGGGGTCAAATTTGGTTTAAATATCTACGCTTATTGTAAGCATGGATCCTTGGTTTCAGTTTGTCATTTCGTCTTGTGGATCCCATACCTCCTATTGACAGGTGTTGCGTACTTGTCAATAACTTGTTCCATGATTTGCAAAATGGTTGACTGGTGCCATGAAAACCATTTTATGGTTACTATGTATCAAGTGCATAAGGTTAGATTAAAGTGAGTGCTTGCCCATGGAGAGGCTACCATATTATTATTTATCCAGTTTTAAATGGATACAATTTAAAATTATAAATCTACGTTTAAGTGATCCTTAGCAAAGTGTGAGTAGTATATAAAGGTGTCCGTCTTCGATTTATGCTGATCTTTGGGGACAGCTTCGCACCAAGACAAATTGGCACATCATGGGATGACTAGCATATATACTCTACAGCTGATGCAAAAATACATACAAACTTGAAGCTTCAGCTGAGTGTTAATAACAAAGCTCGATCTGGTGGCCATTACACCTTATTAGAGCCCCGATCGTGTACTATCATTATACTGAATTGTTTACATAAGGTTGTTTGAGCTTTTAAATAGTCCGTCATAACGACTAAAATGACATGCAAAATGGGTATGCCATGATAATATACACTACTCCGCGTTTGACAATGACTTGACAATAATTCAATGAGTGAGTGAGTTTAGTTTTCCGCAGCTTTTAGCAATATTCCAGCAATATCACGGCGGGGGACACCAGGGCTTCACACAAATAATTCAAAGATTCAGTATGACTACAAGTATATTTATACACTATACACAGTTGAGCGGTATATGAGTAAAGGTTCCTAACATAACTGCCCAATGTTCGAGCTATAGAAAAAACACTTTCAAAGTGTAACGTGGCGCCTTTTCTATATCATGCTTTATATACAACATAGCGGATGATGGAAGTTATTACGTTCCCACGGGCTGACGTGATAGATTGATCGAGCGCTTCCAGCGGATCCTGACGTCGCACTGTCCTTTCCACTATTCATAGGCTCCACAGGAAAACATACGTTTCAAAAGAAATGCTTCAAAGACAAGTGATAGATAAATAGTAAATAGAAAATGGAATTTATAACCATGTACAGGAGATCGCTTCAGAACGTTTCCCAGAATACTGTTATTCCATCGCATGATCTCACTCATCAAGCTCCCACAGCTGTTGTTTAGCTTTATTTGTATATATAGTGAGGGAGTTTAGTTTTAAGCCACTTTTAGTAATACTCCAGCAATATCACGACGTTGGAAATTTGCTTCACACATTGTACCCATGTGAGGAATCGAACCCGGGGTTTCGGTGTGACGAGCGGACGCTTTAACCATGAGAGAGGGGACGCTTTGTTGTTGCCAAAAGCAGATGAGGTGGGTTTAACGCTTATTGGATTTCAGTCATATGATGACGTGTGAGTATGGGTTTACGCCGAATTTAGCAATATTCCAGCAATATCACGACATGGGACATCAGAAATGGGCATCACACATTGTACCCATGTGGGGAATCGAACCCGGGGCTTCGACGTGACGAGCTAACACTTTAACCACTAGGCTACCCCACGATGACGTGTGGTATTAATAAACCAGCATAAGAGGTGAATACTAACGTCAGAATGGGTAGAGAAATGCCGCCACGGCGATTGGCTACAAATCCCGAAGCAATCGCATTAATTTCAACTTACCAGTCAGGTCAGGGGGATAACATGAGAAGCGTGTGCCCAGTGGGTGTAGTATCGGGTCTTTAATTTGATTTTACTCAGCGGAAACTGAAATATTCATTTTGTTGCTGATCTTTACAGAAGACAAAGTGTCAGGTACCGCTTGGTCATTCTGTTTGAACTTGATTCCTTGGGAAGTAAAAGCGATGACTTTGTCTCCAGTGGCAGCTATACGTGTACGTCTACGATCACAGAGAAATGACTGCAGCATCCCTAGGAGTACTTGGTGTAATTTTCACAGACAACTGAAACTCGGTCGTTCACTCTAATTGGATTACAGTTTGGATCAGACTAGCGATTCCAAACGAGAGATTCAGAATGCATTTTTTCACATTTGGTCTCGTTTGAACTTAAATTTTAGAATTTTAGCGTATATAATGAGACTGAGCTATAGGAAGTAAGAACACATCCATTGCAATTCAGTTATAATGGTGCAAGGCAGGACGTTATCGGTGATTTGCCAAAGAAACATAGTCTACTGTAGGTCACTAGTCGTAACTACACGAGGAGATACTACAAACATTATGTCAAATAATTGAAAATGCGATCATTATGACATAACCGATGACCTGTTTTCCACTTTGGGTACAATGTTTGACATCAGGAGGACACCCGCCATCGTCAGGTGGGATCTGACCATACTTCTCCAGACACATCACTAATCACATCTGACTGCCTCCTTGTTTAATACACCGTATGACCGTGGTCCTAAAATCCTAGGGATTTGCTTATTCTTTACTGTTGGACTCCGAGCAGTTTCGAGATTCTCACAGACTTGGTGCTTCATGGTATTAAAACGTGTCATGGATTTCATGAAATGAACACATTTATCCGATGAATTCATTAATAGTCCTACCTCCTTGGAATTTTTGACGTCATCGACTGGTCAACACTGAGTTACATCCGGTCCCAAATCAAGCACATCTAACACCTGTTGAAGGTCCCTTGTGGGCGCTTCGAGACACTTACACTTTGGGTTTAGGAGACACCCAACATAAACCCTCCATGGGTTGTACGATGACGTCACAAAAGTACTCATCACTGTCGTCATGTCCGGCTGGGAAATCTGTAGGAAGGGGGGATAATCACGTCTTGTGTATTGACTCTTCGGTACTGGAGGTATTCCCTGCGGATCTGTTTCCGGTATAAGCAGACGACCACAAGCGACGCAATGAGCATGATGAAGAGTACCCCCATAATGAGCACGTACAGTTTTAATATTAACGTGTATGCGAAGCTGTCTGATTTGCGCTCTGAAACAACAAACACACAAAAATCAGAACATGTTAACGATAGTTCACAGATGTTGCAATGACCCCTAACCACAGTAGGTAGCAACAACAGCTTGCTGATTGTATTCCAGTGTAAGTTACTTACAACATGTATTCTACATATTTCTCTCTTTGCATAGTACAGTAATAGTATGGTTTTACGCCGCTTTCAGCAATATTTCAGCATTATCACGGCGGGGGACAGCAGTAAAGGGCTTCAAACATAGTACCGTAAATTATACTTCCTGTCATCCCTTTATAGCATTAAAACATGCATTCATGCTGTCAACACTCCTCCCCCAACAAAACACAAAACAAAATATATAATAACAAAACCAAGAAAACCTAAACAATTGCCGCAAAGAAAACGAGTTAATCCTCAGGAAGAAAACTACTAGGTACTGTCCGTGATCCACCTGTACAGCTATAACCAGATTCGTTTTTTAACATTTTTAACAGATAGCTGTGGATGTATTTTGGGAACCACAAAAGGGTGTTTTCTCCATATATTAACAGCAATTATTTTGTTCAAATAGAGAAGGAATACAGAAATGCGAGTGCAAGTGCTTTTATGCCATTCAGCAATTTTACGCAGTAGCCTGCAAAAGTTTACCCATTGACCCTAGGCTGGGCGTCCCATTGGTAATATCGCAGGTATGTGGGTCATCGCACATTTTAAGCACCATGGCCCTGTTTCCCATCGGGATCGTAGAACTACGAATGTCGTAACAATAGTTTGACACAGGCATTCGACATTCATAGTGCTAAGATCGCTCTGTGAAAAGCGGCCCAGATCAACACTGAACTCTTACGACAAGCATGGGAAAGAGGAAGCCCATCCCATCTTACAAGATACTGTTCATAATTATATGCCATATACACAACTAAACGTTTTCGGAGGACTTCACCTTTCAGGAAATGCTGAGTTGTGCACAACAGCCATAAAGATTAATGTTTCATTGAAATACGAATAAAGCATTACCAATGCAGTTGGGCATTGTCTCTGTGATGTCCCAGTGGCAACCATATTCCTGTCCATCACAATGTCTGAGGATGAGGTTGACCACGTGACTATTCTTGACATCATCATTGAGTAACACATTGGTCCTAGATGTCATCAGATACTTCTTGGTCAGCACATTCTTGAGCTTATACTTCGATGAATAGTTGGCCACCGAGGGCTCGATGGTAAATGTTTGCGTGTTTCTGTCCTGGGGTCTCAGGGCATGGCTACACAACAGCACCTCGTCGTCTTCGGCTCCAGCAGCATTGCGGTCGTCCAGTTCGTCCTGGATATATTTTAGGAAAGACCTATCAAAACCTACGTAACACTCATTCTTCCCGCGGATAAAATATCCAAGTTTTCCAAAGGGAAGTGCTGATTCAAATGTCCATGTGGCAGGGTCATCATCAACGTCCTTCCTTCTGGCACATTTGACTGCGGTGCCCTTCACTTCTGCCGACGCCAGGTCCACTGTCCCTTGTTGGCTGGATAACGTTTGTGACTCAATATTATACAATACTTCATTTGTCAGTGGTTTTGACATGTACAAATCTTTGGCAACCTCATGGAACAAAGCTGTCATCAACATCGGGGTACACATCTTAAGGTGATTGTTCTGAGCGAGAAGATCCCGTTCCATTATGACAATCCTTTGTCTGCAGCGGATGTCTTCTGGCGCGCACGTCATGTCGTACAGAAGGGCTCCTCGGACCTGGAGCTTCATCAGTTGGCTTAAAAACGACATGGAGTCATTCACTGCTATATTCAGACTAATAGGACTTTCTGACGTTGACGTCATGTCGCCTAGTTTCTTTGTTACATACTTTCTCAAGAGACTGTCGTCCTCAGGGTCGTCTGTGCCTCGAATCTGGGAATCGATCAGTACAAACAAGGCTGGTAGGTTCTTGTGAGCACTTTTGAACAGAGATTTCATTTGTCCTGCTGCAGATTTTCTCATTTTCTCAATAGGAAGGGTTCCATTGACGCTAGTGTCATACACCTTCTGAAGTATATACAGGATTGCCTTCCACCTGTCTAAGTATTCATCCATGTCATAAACAGTTTTCAAAACTTTCGAGGCATTGGTGCCCAACTCCTGGAAATGTTGATTAAGACTACTTGAGTCAGCGTTCAGTTTTTCAAACTCCTCCTCAATGTGTCGAAATGAATCTGGATTCCTATTGCCGACAAAGCCATCAACGCTTAGCTTGTTGTTAAGCGAAGGGTACTCTTTGCCATATTTGGACACATATGACTTCGAGTTACCCTCACCCTCCTCAAAGGAATTCCCTCGGCAGTGTCCACACGACAGCAACACACCTGCAAGTAAGCAGAAAACAGCTTTACATATCTAATTTGTCGTATGTCATCTAGGTGTACACAGGTGTTCCGATCAAGAACAGTGATACAAAGGAAGTTGACATGAAGGACAGGGCTTGACATGAAGGACAGGGCTTGAAATGAAGGACGGGGTTGACATGAAGGACGGGGTTGACATGAAGGACAGGGCTTGACATGAAGGACAGGGCTTGACATGAAGGACAGGGCTTGAAATGAAGGACGGGGTTGACATGAAGGACAGGACTTGACATGAAGGACAGGGCTTGACATGAAGGACAGGGCTTGACATGAAGGACAGGGCTTGAGATGAACGACAGTACTTGACCTGAAGGACAGGGCTTGACATGAAGGACAGTGCTTGACATGAAGGACAGGGCTTGACATGAAGGACAGGGCTTGACATGAAGGACAGGACTTGACATGAAGGACAGGACTTGACATGAAGGACAGGGCTTGACATGAAGGACAGTGCTTGACATGAAGGACAGGGCTTGACATGAAGGACAGTACTTGACATGAAGGACAGGGCTTGACATGAAGGACAGTACTTGACATGAAGGACAGTACTTGACATGAAGGACAGTGTTTGACATGAAGGACAGGACTTGACATGAAGGACAGTGCTTGACATGAAGGACAGGGCTTGAGATGAAGGACAGGGGTTTCACATTAACAAATTTCATTAATGACGCTAACCAATTTTTTTCGATGATTGATCGGTTGTAATAAACCAATCATCAATTATGAGATTTTAACCAATTCCCAACACTACCGGGGAGACGTACAAAAGCACCGAGTGCTCATCAAAAGTAGTAATCTATGTCTGTTATTTCATCCATAAGTTATTAATACTGTCCACATGATCACTAATTCATTCCAGGCTCTAAGTAATTAACTGAATATACACTACACCATTTCAATACTTTACAGGACCCTCATATTATCTGCAGGGACACGTAAAATTTACTCATGGGGGTTCACTTTATATAAGTCAAGGTAAAACCCTGTGAAGGATACATCCAAATATACCTCACTCTGTCCCCAGTACACAGTGTGTGTTTTGTAGATGCGTACAGAAATGAGCCAATGTTGAACGTGGTAGTGTTACAAGGCGGAGGCGACAAGGACACAGCTCCCTATACACTTCAACCACAGTAGCCCATCACCTTGGCCACAATCCACACGTCTTGACGAACATCACACTAAACCACATGCCCCCTGTGTTAGGCTGAGCCAAAAACGTGTACCCTATTTTGGTCTTGACCACCCCAGACCACACAGGCCCTATTTACTTTAAGTCTCCTTCCCACCATAAACCAGGGCCAATTGTACCGTAAGCTCCCAAATACATGCCCTAACCTCGTCATCCCGAACTATTGTACTACACAATAGCTAATCACCACGACAGCCCCATATAATGAACAGTTTGGTTAACGAATGCAGATGGTTCAGCAAACGTTTCTAGACACATATAATAAAACCCAAGAGCAAAGCATCACTGTCTGTCTCGGATCTAAGCTCGGAACTTGATTTGCCAGTTAGCAGTATATAATGAATCTGGTCCCTTGATACCAACGTGTGCTCTTTACACTGACCGTAGTTAGTCTGGAGAGTATCCCTATGGGATTCAGAGATAATGCTTTTATATCGCCCGTCCTACTATTATAGTAGTTGAGTCAATTATCTGATTAACTGTTGCAGCATTGATATTGCTAATTTATCTCCATCGTCCACACCAAGCGTCCAGGCAAGAAATGAACATGAAATTGACCAGCAATAATGCTAATGACGGACGGATAATTCAGCTGTAAATCTTGTAATAGACGGCGTGTAGATTGTTATAGATGCTGATAACAGCAGAGTTGAGACCAGCCTTAGAAATATAGTTCTAGAGCGTTCATTTGATCGATATCTGCCAGCTCAGCTTCTTCAACCAGGGCTATGGCTCACGTCTATTGCATCAGTGTTGATGCCCTGAGATTAAGCTATGTTATCATGAGGAGGAGCAGCATGATAGGGGATTTTTACACTGCCCAATATTTCAGATTAATGTCTTTTTAATAATGTGCATGTTCATCATCTATTTGTCTTACTTATTTTTCGTTTTTGTTGGGTTTTTTAAACATTTTCTCACCAGCGCACACCAACAGCACTGAATCAGCAACCAACAGCCCAAACGGTTGGCTGTATTTCTATATAACCGTTTGATCTACTATCAAGAGGAGATTAGCTATCTAGATACTATGTCGACACATCCTTAAATAGTGTCCTTATTCCATAGTCGTGCGAGTGATTCCTGGACAAAGTGGTGGTGGTGTGTGGGCCTGTGCAAGAGCTCAGGTCACAAATCAGTTGAAGTTTCAGCAACGTTGGACGCGGAGAGTCTTTGGATGGGTGGCCTTGTTTGGAAGCTTGACTGATGAGAGTTTATACGACTTCAATCATACCCCCTAACAAAAAAGTCATGTGATCTTACTTTAGGAACGCAACTTTGTTCAAAATAGCCTCTGTTCACCCAGCAGTGAATAGGTAACCGTAGGGATGAGATGTTCACTGGACTCTTAACCTTCTCGCGTCTCACGGGCAGGCTGGATTATAGTGCACACTGATATATTGACCAGGGTAACAATGTTACCACTTTAGCATACACGTGCACATTGTGTATGGAAGTTAACGTAATATAAGTACACACATTAGAATTATTCGAGTAAATCGCTAATATCCCCGTTTGTGAGAGCCTAATATCATGCTTTGAAGGAAAGGCACAGTAAGCCATCAACTGACGGAAATCTATATTTATGTATGTCAGTTGTTAGTCTTCGTCGTTTGACCGCCAACATTTAGTTGGAACATTGGTGAGTGCGGCGTAAAACTAAACTCACTCGCTTACTCTTCGTCGTTTGACCGCCAACATTTAGTTGGAACATTGGTGAGTGCGGCGTAAAACTAAACTCACTCACTTACTCTTCGTCATTTGACCGCCACCATTTAGTTGGAACATTTGTGAGTGCGGCGTAAAACTTAACTCACTCACTTACTCTTCGTCATTTGATTCGTCATGCGCCGTACCACGACAACCCGGATTGCCACCATGCTGTCACAACATAACTGACTATAATTACACACAAAGGCTTGTACAGTTAGCATCTGAATAGTTTCATGACGGACTCATTTTCATTAAAACATTTTGTTTGAAGAGGATATGTTTGACATTTACACATCGTTTACATGCACAGGCAGATTTATTAGAGTAAAGAGAGATCGTGCTTGGTGGTCAGTATTCAAATCAGGAGCGTTACATGTTAGGACATTCTCGCTGGTCTGCAATATCCACTTAAGTGCTCAAAGAGTACTCATTTTCCGTCACTGTCTAGACACTGACGTTAGTTTCAAACGCAGTTTTGAGACAGACTAGATAATTACTGTCCTCGTCAAGAGAATAGACTTACTAGATTATATATTTGTCCTGATGCCAAAGATGACATCAAAGATTACGTATATCGAATCTAACACAGTTCCGTATGAATATTGAACCAATCAGTATACTTCAGTTTAATCGTATGCACACGTATGTATAGCACAGGTAATAGTATATTTTATGGGATACTTGGACGCTATCAATCGATGTCAATCAAGAATATGAGCGCACTAAATCACATTTAAAGCAAAACTTGTCAGAAAGTTTGATGAAATCTCCAGTAAGAAAATGGAGCAAAGTGTTACCAACGTTACCGTTTATTGAACGTAGATACAGAATACAAATGCTCACAGAACAGCTCAAATAGATAAATGGCGTATCTAAACTTCTCTTACGGGCATTTTACATTCCAAGAGTACATAGAGACAGTTAAGGCGCCAAGGACTGCGATGAAATGAATCGTCAAAAGCGTTTGGCTGTGAAAACACCATCGATAGCGAATTTGCACACTCCAATCAATACATCAAGGCAATTTCAAAGGACGGGAGTTATGTAATGTCTAGTCGAAAGACAATTTACAACGCCAGTGCGTATGTTCATGGAAGCACGCTTAAGTCAAATTCTGTGTCAAAGGCATTTGGGCTGAAATGAATACAAATAGAAACTGGAAAGTGACTTAAGCCATGATACAGGTACGTCCCAATGGACATATATCTGCGTACTAGTGACATAGTTTCTGTACGCGTTCCAGGATTTCGTTCCATCACTATGCTATATTTGGTATCGTTTGGTCTGTAATTCAATTGTCGACGACAGTAATGGTCCGTGTTCATGTTGGGCTTACTAAAAGCATTACGCCCAGGCGCTTTTCAACTTCAGTATCCAAAACTGATTCAGCAAATCTGTGGGTTCCATTGATTTACCCACGCTCTCAAATCAGTCCGTTTCATCTAAGCTGGAAGGAGGAAAGTCTTTAAAGCAGCCCAAAGCAAATACCAGATCTATGATTGGTGTTCACCGAATTTGAAGAATTGGGACTAAACTCCTTCATGGACGTTCTCGAGTGTAATACACGGCAACTCATGGTCTCGACATGATACACCATTCTCGCAATCAAGACCGAGAATCACCCAAAAGGGCCTCGGAGTCGATTTGGCATCCCGTGAGTGGAATTAAAGACTAGATGCGTGTTATTTCCTTAGAGGACCTGGAAACCATGCCAGTAGCGATATCGACCTTGACGATCGAATCTTTCGCCTGGTGGTCATCTTGAAGGTCAGTCTGAGTACAGCTTGGCCTATATTGATGCTGCAAGCAAATAAAGCATTCGGGCACCCAGCCAACTTCAGAATGGGATGAACTGCAGCTCAGTCAAGAACCCATTGCCTCTTGGCCAGAGGGGTGCAATACCTCAGCATCATTTCGGTATTCTGGGATCAATGTTTCTCGCACTACGTCAGCAGGGTAATGAGAAATAATTTGTACAGCTCGCGTTATTAACACACTGAGTTGTAAATAACGACTTGGTCTTCGAGGAATCAATAATCACGAATGTATTCTT